GGTCGTGCTGTGTTTGTGTTCTGGCTCTTTCTTCTTGAGTTTCTCTGAGGCCCAGCTGAGCACAGAACCCCTTTGTGCCACAGCTTGCGCCATGTCACGGTGAATGTCACACAAATAGGAATGTGCCTGGAGGCCACTTGGACCCACGTCCTCCCCACCAGGCTGCCAAGCAGACGCCACGGATCTGGCCTGCTGGGGAAGCATGCTGCCGACACCCGCAGCCCACAGCTGCTCCTAGGAAGGGGAGTTGCGGGCAGTGGGCAGCCTTGGCCAGCATGGGGTCCAGGCAGAGCGGACCCGGCCAGCACAGATGCCGTGAGGGATGGGGAACGCACTCAGCTCTCAGCCCTCAGCCCAGCTCACCTTCTTGGGGGTGGGGAGCCAGGGACTTGGGGCCCAGCCCAGGAATTGCTCCAAATGGCAGATACATCCTGAAGACCTCAGTAAGGAGGCACAGGAGGAAGGGAGCTCCAAGGCAGGGGCCACCAACAGAGGGGAGCAATGTGCACCTGTCTGGGCCACCTCCTGGGGAAATTGAGGCCTAGCCCTGCCCACCACACAGGCAGTGTGTGGGAGAGGGGAGAGATGTGGGACAGGGGAGGTGGGAGATGTCCAAGGTGGGGCCTTCAGGTCAGGAGCCACGTTGGGGGCAACCCTGCTGTCCTTCCACCTACAACTGCCCTTGCCTAGGTGGTACCAGGCAGCCCCCCTTGGGGTGGGGCTTGACCTAGTGTTTGTGTTGACTCAGAGCGTCCTGTGTGGTGACCAGGCTCAGAGATGCCACTGCAGACTGTGCCAGCCTCACACGCTCATGGGCACTGCTGCCCTGCACCCCTTCCTCAGGAGAGGAAGGCAAGGCGGGAAGTGGTGAGAGAGAAGCCGAGTTCGCTTGGAAGCCAGCAGGACCCTGGACTCAAACACGGGGGCCACACGCAGCCAGGTTTCCCCTTGACCCCACCAGCGCTCTGTGTGCAGGGAATCCTCACAGTGCAGCGGCAGCCACAGGGGCTGGGAAGTGCTGGGGGGCCTCTTCTGCTGCCCCAGACCCACAGTGCTGGGGGGCCTCCCCCACTGTCCCAGACTCACAGTGCTGGGGGGGCCTCCTCTGCTGCCCCAGACTCACAGTGCTGGGGGGCCTCCCCCGCTGTCCCAGGCCCACAGTGCTGGGGGGCCTCCTCTGCTGCCCCAGGCCCACAGTACTGGGGGGCCTCCCCCGCTGCCCCAGGCCCACAGTACTGGGGCGCCTCCCCTGCTGCCCCAGGCCCACACCTGCAGTGGTCTTTCTTCTTCCAATAGTCTCCCCAGCTCTGGGCTGTGACTGTCAGTCAAATGTCCCCACCGTGTACCAGGCTGCTAAGGGCAGCTGCCCTCGGCATGGGGTGAATGAAGGAGGATTTCTGACCCT